TGATAAGAACAACTAATGATAACAACAAGCTATGATAACAACAAGCTGTGATAACAACAAGCTATGATAACAACAACTATGATAACAACAGCTGTGATAACAACAACTCACCAATTTGGGTGGAACAAACGGAACTGACGTGAAGGTGTGGGCGCGTGTGTGAATTTGGAACCTGATGCCAACGATATACATATATATATATATATATATATATTCTGCTTCCGAGGTTGGGGAAGGACGAGAGGCAGAAGTGGAGCAATGACGAAGAAGTGACGGCGCGTGGGCGAACTTCGACCATTCAAGGCCCCTGGCTTTCTCTCGAGTCGCCGTGTTGCTGCGTGCTGTGCGGTTGTTGGCGGTGGCAGGGTCCCTCGCGAGCACGCGCGTGCTGCTGCCGCCACCACTTTTCCTCTTCGTGTCTCCATGGTCTCTTGTATCCTCCCAGAAGGTGTGCGTATTCTCGGCGGGGGAGTTGCCTGGCCACCACGCACGTCTCTGGTACTTAGCGGCGCAAGGGGGCAAAAGGAAAACCCCGTTTCTCCTCAACCTGATTTTGGTTTAAGGCTTTGGGCCTTTTCCTCCGAGGGCAGGCGCGAATAAATGGGCCAATGCCGGTGGAGAGGGGAAGAGGCCCACTGGGACGGGAGTATTTGCAATCGGGCGCAATTAATTTGAAAGGATTTTTTAATTTTTGGCTGCGTAACAGGCAAATGTGCACACGTGGCCGGGGAGAGAGATGTGCGGAGGGTGTTTTGCAGCGGGGCGTAGATGTTTTTTTTTTTTTCATTTTGCTTGGCGTTTTATTATCAATTATTATTACTTCACAAGACACAGGTCAGTTCTTTGGGCTTCGCAATCGTAACCGCACTTGGCGCCTCTGTTTGAGAGCCAAATGAACGCTTCGCACGGCCACGCGCACCATGGAATGCACGGCAGTGACGGCGCCGTGCACGGGGGCCACCATCACCACGGCGGGTGCAGCGGCGAGAAGGGGCCGTACTCGGTGGGACTGCACGTGGCGGGCTTTTTTATTCTTTTGGTTGCGTCGCTTCTGGGGACGCTGATCCCACTTGCCGGGAAGTACGTGCCGTGCCTGCAGATGAACCCGTTTTTGTTTGTCGTTGGGAAGTGCGCGGCAACTGGTGTGGTGCTGGCGGTTTCCCTACTCACCATGGTTCTTCACAGCATACACAGCTTTTCGGAGGGGTGTGTGGCCTTCTTTTTTCTGTCTAGTAGTGGTGTACTGTGCGTGTTGGCTGTGGCTTTTTGTTGATTGGTTCTTTAACCTCATTCTTTTTTTTTTCTGTCTTGTTGGTGAACAAGATTTGTGTTTATTCTGCTGCTGCTGCTCAAACCGCAGCAATAAATATACTTTTTTCAGGTCACATGCGTCAGTCAAGCCTGCCCACGCCGTTTCTTCCATCGCTGCTGCTGCTGCTATTGGCGGCGGCGATGTGTTGCGCCGGTGGGTG